AAGCAACTTTGGTATCCCGACAAACTCGGTAACGGTGCCTCATTTAAAAATGTTGATTAGTCACACCACAGTACTCGAATTATCGACCTGTTGTATTCACTTCTGAGACACGTCGATTGAAATTCTCGGTCCCGGTAGATGCCTTTTATCAGTGCGGTTAATTTCTACTTTGGAAGCACCATCCATGAATTTTGTTCTAGCCAACGAATGCTACAGAATCCTGTAACTATGATCATATGCTACAAGCCACTTCAAGCAGTATCCTCTGTGTGGAATCTCTAAAGTGAACTTCTGAGGGGATCGCTGGTCTGATAAGAAGACTTACTTCGAATGCTTCCCAAAGACTCGAATTTCCAATTTTGCGCAATAATATCTGCGCATTTTTAGTATTAAGTTACAAAATGATGAGTGCAGCAAAATGACAAAGTACGAAAATGATTAAACGATGGTGCACAGGACTCTCTTACTGAATAACAAGTAAAAAGGGAGAAATACAAATTCGCAGGCCAAAAAAACAATACAGGAGAAGAGGCAAAACTATGCTTCTTCAAAAGAACATCTTCGAGTTGTTCACAGACTGATTTAGCGAAGTCATTCATCGGCCAGTTTAGTTTAACGAAGATCATAGATTGACAGTGATTTACTTTCTTTTTTTTTGAGATGCTTGGACCTGACCATAGTTTGATAAGGAAGAATGAGTTCAAGTACTTTCGAAAGGTTCAAGTTTCGCGCAATAATGTCTATAAAAGGAGGTGAATTTATAAGCCACAGACTCCACTCTTGGTAATGCCCTTCCATCGATCACTTTCAAGTTTTAGATTCGTAACTATAAAGTTACTCCGGGATAGAAAGTAATTTGTCCAACAAAGCGTCTTTACCACAAACGAGCTGCCAAATAACAATCATCTGTGGTCAAGACTTGGACAGTGTGACTTTGAACCTGAACCATGAGAAGTCCGAAGTCAGTTGACAAAAACGACCGGGAAGACTTTCAAGCTGATTGATTTATCGAAAATTCTTTCGTTCTGACAATGATGAAGAAAAGTGCAGCTGCTTAGATGCTGACGAAATCGCAGCCGCACAAAAAACCTAATTAAACTACAAATCTAAGGATACAACAAAACTATCCTTTGATTGCACATAAGAGAACATATTTCGCACGAATGGCTATATGGAATTATATGTATGAGAAAAGTCCAAATAAAAGAATGTTAAAAAAAAAGGCGAAGACGAGACAAGAGCTGATCAAAGTACTAGAGTAATACATGAGTTTTTTTACGCTACATGTAAAATGATCTAGGAAGTGCATGAGGGGCAGAGGGGTGCAGGCATTCTACCCGAAACAACGAAAGACAAGACACATGTAAGGGCATTCTACCTGAGTAAGCAACGTAAGCTTGCATTCACAAGAGCAGAAAGGACAATTAATAGCAGTTGGGATCTGTAAACAGTGAAATATCATGGCCGGGATAAACGATGCAAAATGTGTGGGAATTGCTTAAACTTCAAACTCCTTGA